TTTGGAGGGGGGAGCAGGAGGAGGGACAGAGGTGCCCCTCCCCCCCAACTGGCACCCAGCTCCCATGCGAGATCCTGGGTGCAGGCTCTGTAATGAGCTAATTTGCATATGTGCAACCCATCCTGCCTCGTTTGGTTCTGGGCCGGTGAGAGCTGGGCAGGAGCAGATGCTGGGGTGCATGACAGGGGAAGGGTAGGTGGTTAGGACAGTGGGGCCCCGGGGAGAAGGGGAGTTACTAGGGTGCCCAGCTCCCATGGGGGGGGGAGGGATTGAGGGGGGCAGTTACCAGTCGTCTGGCTCGCAGTCCCGGAACCCTTTGGCGAAGGGGTTACTGGCGATTTTCAGCTGGGTGATCTGCAGAGAGAGAGGTGGGGGGTGAAGGGAGCAGCCCAGCTCAGCGGCTCCCCAGGCAAAGCAGGGCAGGAATCCTGGGAAGGGACCCCCAAACCCTTTGCATGAAATCAAAAAAGGCCAGGAAGCCATCATCCAGCAGGAGGCGCTGTGGCACCAGTAAGGGAGCTGGAGCTTGCCTTGCCCTACTCTGTGCTCCCCAGCAGGGGGTGCTGTGACACCAGGGAGTGGGAGGAACCTGCTCTCTCCAGCAGGGGGCTCTGTGACACCAGTAAGGGAGCTGGAGCTTGCCTTGCCCAGCTCTGCTCTCCCCAGCAGGGGGGGCTGTGACACCAGCGAGTGGGAAGAGCCTGTACAGCCTACCCCTGCCCTCTCCAGCAGGGGGCGCTGTGACTCCAGGGAGTGGGAGGAGCCTGGATTGCCCAGCCCTGCCCTCTCCAGCAGGGGGTGCTGTGACACCAGGGAGTGGGAGGAGCCTGCACTGCCTACCCCTGCCCTCTCCAGCAGGGAGTGCTGTGACACCAGGAAGTGGGAGGAGCCTGGATTGCCCAGCCCTGCCCGCTCCAGCAGGGGGTGCCATGGCCCTTAGCTGGTGTGGCAGGGAAGGGGATCCAGACCGGGGCTGGGGAAGGCTGGCTCTGTGCCCCGTGGGGCAGTGCCGGTCCCGGGGCTGCGTGCGCACCCGGTGGTGGGTCTCTGCGAAGGTGAAGGATTTGAAGTTCTCGTGGGCGAAGCGCTCGCTGTCCCGGCGTGGGTCCACGTACACCACGTGGAAGCGGGGCTGGTACCGGTGCATGGAGTTCAGGATGATCTGGGGGTGCCAGGGAAGAGCCAGGCTGAGACGGCCGTGGGGCAGTGCCGGTCCCGGGGCTGCGTGCGCACCCGGTGGTGGGTCTCTGCGAAGGTGAAGGATTTGAAGTTCTCGTGGGCGAAGCGCTCGCTGTCCCGGCGTGGGTCCACGTACACCACGTGGAAGCGGGGCTGGTACCGGTGCATGGAGTTCAGGATGATCTGGGGGTGCCAGGGAAGAGCCAGGCTGAGACGGGCCCGGGACAGCCACTGCCCTGTCCCACCGCCATGTGGCAGAGGGGC